ATATATATATATATATATCTTAAATATCAGGTCAGATAAATAGTAATAAATATCATATACTTTACATTGAGTTATAAACTTTGATGTTCAATATCTTTATAACTGTGAATAATCAATTTTATCCGGACTCACAAAAGTGATGAAATAGACATCTATTATGAAGGGAAGGAGCTCCCGAAACATGCCGACAAGAAGACAAGACTTTAGAGGGCCCAAAAGCACAAATTAAGTATTTTTTTGTTTTTGGGCGTTCCAGAATCGGAACGGGCCGTTCCAGAATCGGAACGGGCTGTTCCAAAATCGGAACGGGCCGTTCCACCAAGGTTTGATGTCCACTTGCCTAAGCAAGTGGTTTGGACGTACAAGCTTGGTAAGGAAGCCATCCAAGTTTGTTAAAATAAGTCACATGGCCTTGAAAGTGACATCTCAAAAAACTAGTTAAAAGTAATCATTAAGTTAGGTAGATGGAGTTAACTTAAGCTAACCTAGGTTATTTCTAAACTAGGATTAGCATAGTTTGCTCCATAAGCTTTTAGGAAGGTAACTAGAGTTGGTTGCACCATAATCCAACCAAACTTCTCTATGTAGGAAAACATGTACTGGCCAAAAATCACTTTGGAGTTTATGTGAATTAGATTGAATTTTCTCTAATTCTCTCTCTCAAAGCTTGTTTCTCCCTTGAAACTTGTTCCATTTCTCTTATCCTCTCTTGAGTGTGATAAGATTTGGAGTGACTTATCACTCCTAGAGTGTGGCGTCAACCAAGGGGAATTCTACCTCTTCATATGTGTTGGATGATGACTTCTAACACCATTAGAGGCCATTGAGAAAGTTAGGAGGAGACCAAGGAGGAAAGATCCGTTCAAGAAGACTTGGAGGATAACTACATCAATCTAGTCTCTCCAACGAGTTTTCCATCACTTATGAATTAGAAGCTTTTGATGGTAGTAGTCACTAATGTATAAGATATCTCCATAGGGACTTATGTGATGGCTTTTGTAAGAGCTATTTCTATTACTACCATTTTTTCTTCTTCTTATTTTTCTTTTCCGAGGGTTTTTCTTGATCTTTAAATTGTTTAACCTCTTGCTCTAGGTTAGCCTCTATCTCTTGCATCTTAATCTTTTATTTTCTTTCTTTTTCTCTTTCCTCCAAAGCTTAAGTGTCTTTAGTTTACTCATGAGTTTTTCAAGGTTTGGAGATGAGCTAAAGTCACTACCACTTTGAGAAGTGTGTAAAGTGTTCTTAGACACGATGCACTTGATAGAAAAAGATTTTTCCTAAGCTAAACAAAATATGTAACCTAATGTGTTTGAAAAAGTCTTTGGAACCTCTCTAAACACTCTAATGTTTGGAAAACAAATAAAGAAAGCAAAAAAGAAAATATAGGAATACAACTAGATGTGTCCTATGTGAAAGTTTGGGTGGACACTTGTGAGTCTCCCAAAACACTTTCATAAGCACTAAGAAAAATTACTTAACAAGCTTATAAACAAATTGGAAGTTTTGAGTAGGCACTTAGAACCTCTCAAAATCACTTCCAAGCAAAGTACATGTACAATAAGTGAATTAAAAGACTAAAAACCAAAAACAAAGAATGTAACAAGTTTTCAAGTCTTCAAATCTTCTATTATACAATGAACGAACTCATTAGTGTAAGAGAGCTTCTAGTGTTTCACTCTTCTCCAAGGTGTCTGGTCTTCAAGCTCTCCTAAAAGATGGCCTCAACCAATGAGCAAATCCTCCTAGGCCTTTATCAACATTCTAAGATGCTATCTTACGACAAGTGTCTTGATTACCTTCACTAAGAAATTTTCACACCAAAACAACACTAGATGAAATTTTTAGAAAACAAGAAATAAAACTAGAATTAAAAGTAAACTAAACTCAAGAAAGATTAGGCATAACAAAATTGAAAAAAATACAAGAATATATAAACAAGCAAAAATTAAGACACAATTTGGAAGCTAGAACATCAAAGGAATAATCCTAGGATTGGTTCTAGAATTAGATTACAAAAACAAGAAATACCCAAATCCACTTCCAAATTAAATGAAAATTTGAATGAAATGAAATTTGACAAATATTTTTAAAATGATTTTCCCCAAAAGTCTCATTTTTTTTTATCACAAATATTTTTTTCCTTTCACTTGTATTTTGTTTTCGATTTTTTTTTCACTTTTGTTTTTCTTTCTTTTAGAACTATTTTGTTATTGCTTTCTTTTTGTTCTAGTTGTTGTATTTTTATCACATAAAGTTCCATGACAAAAAGATCAAAATTGCATAAAGTTTAGAAGTAGATAATCTCAAAATGACCCAAAAATTGGTAAAGTTCTAGTTCTAGTTCCTTGAAGTCACACAACTTTCACGCTTCATCTTGAGGCTTGAGAACTTTAAAGGATTACCAGTCATATGCTTTGAGCAGTCATTATCCAAATACTAGATTAAGCTTTTAGCTGTCATGCATTCTTACAACAAAGTTTAAAAACCAAATTAGGTACCTAAGTGTTTGATTCTTGCATGTTAGTACTCAACCCTTGATTTTTAGCTATCCAAACATATCTACCACTAGGAACTCTATATTTTCTAGTATAGCAATTCTTAGTTGTATAAACTCTCTTGCAACAATAAAAACATGTAATGAATGGCCTAGAATGTCTCTTAACAAATCTGGTGGTTTTCTTTTGAAAGTCACTTTTATTTGAATTAAAACCTACTCCAACTTTATCATAGATATATCTTTGTTTTCCTAATAACATGTTTAGATTGGCTTTACCATTTGTGAATCTTTCTAGTGTAGTATTCAAATCAAAATTTTCTTTTCTTAAAACTATGCAAGTTCCACAATTAGCTTTTGTGGAAGACAAAGATGTTGTACAAGGGCATTCATTTATTTTATAAATTGTTTCAAGAGCTTCATGCTCTAATTTTAAATTTTCCAACTCGTGTCAAACTTTTATTAATGTATCCTCATTTCAACTAAGTTTGTTTTTCAGATTACTATTAAGAGTTCTTACTCTTAGTGCTTATTTATGCACTTGAATGAAAATTTCTTGTAATCGATCATAAACTGGATTAGATTTAAGGTCAGAATCACTTACATTGCTTTGTTGATCCACTCCAGCCATCAAGCACAAGTTAGCTTCTTCATTTTTAGATGTGTCACTTGAAGAGCTCGAATCATTATTATCACATGCTATGTAGGTTTTCTTTTTTTTAATTTTCTTTTTTTCTTTTTCCTATCCTTTTGTAGTTTCTTTATGTGGAAGGCTTTATGCACAAAAGTTTTGACGATGCCAAAGTGATTATAAAGCATTAAAGAAGAATCAAGGTTGAGCTAAAGCAAGTTGATGCAAGAACAAGATCTCAAGTGTTACATAGATGAGTCTTGTCAACTTAGCTAAAAATGTAAAACAATCTTTTAGAATTGCAACTATGCTTAGCCTTAAGAATAAGTTTTCAAAAACCTCAAATTAATCTTTTTAAATTTAAGCAAGTTTTGAATATTTTGATAGTAAGTAAAAATCTTTTCAAAAGACTTAACAAAAAGTTTAAAGAATAGTTCAAATCATTTCTTAAAAGAGATTTGTGAAAGAAATTATTGATATGAAGTTTTCTACATAAAATTTTTTGAAACAATGCAATAGTATGTTCTGGTAATCGATTACCAGGAGAGGGAACTTCAAAATTTGAATATTAAGATACAAAATTTCAATTATTTTAAAATTTATAACTTTTGTAATCGATTACCAAACCCTTGTAATCGATTACCAGTGTATATTTTCAGAAGAACACAAAAAGTTACACCTTTTCATGAAAGGATATAACCTTGGAATTTTTATCTATAAATA